CCAGCTATCCCGCTCCTTGGAATATATCCTAGAGAAATAAGAGCCGTGACACAAATAGATGTACGCACACCTGTGTTCATTGCAGCAGTGTTCACAATAGCAAAAAGATGGAAACAACCTAGGTGCCCTTCAACGGACAAATGGATAAACAAATTATGGTATATCCACACAGTGGAATACTACGCAACGATAAGGAACAAGGACGAAGTCGTGAAACATCTTATAACATGGAGCAATCTGGAGGTCATTATGCTGAGTGAATTTAGTCAGTCACAGAAGAACACATGTTGTATAAGACCACTATTATAAGAACTCAAGAAAAGGTTTAAACACAGAAGAAAACATTCTTTGACGGTTAGGAGGGTGGGGTGGGAGGGTGAGAGTTATTTACTAACTAGATAGTACATAAGAATTATCTTAGGTGAAGGGAAGGACAGCACACACTACAGGGGAAGTCAGCACAACTGGACTAAACCAAAGCTAAGAAGTTTCCTGAATACAATCCAACACTTTGAGGGACAGAGTAGCAGGGGTAGGGGTTTCGGGACCATGCTTTCAGTGGACATATAGGTCAATTGGCATAACAAAGCTGATTAAGAAAATGTTCTGCATCCTACTTTGGTGAGAGGCGTCTGGGGTCTTAAAACCTTGCAAGCGGCCATCTAAGATGCGTCAATTGGTCCCAACCACCTGGAGTAAAGGAGAATGAAGATCATCAAAGACACAAGGAAAGTATTAGCCCAAGAGACAGAAAGGGCCACATAAACCAGAGACTTCATCAGCCTGAGACCAGAAGAACTAGATGGTGCCCGGCTACCACCAATGACCGCCCTGACAGGGAACACTACAGAGAGTCCCGGATGGAGCAGGAGAAAGGTGGGGTGCAGAACTCAAATTCTAGTAAGAAGACCAGACTTAATGGTCTGACTGAGACTGGAGGAACCCTGGAAAGCATGGCCCCTGGATTCTCTATCAACCCAGAACTGAAAGAATTTCTCAGGCCGACTCTTCAGACAGGGATTGGACTGGACTGTGGGACATAAAGTGATACTCGTGAGGAGTGTGCCTCTTGGCTCAAGTAGATACAAGAGACTAAACAGGCAGCTTCTGTCCGGAGGTCAGATGGGAAGGCAGAGAGGGTTAGGAGCTGGTTGAATGGACATGGGGAATCAGGGGCGGAAAGGAGGAGTATGCTGTCACAGTATGGGGAGAGCAATTAGGGTCACATAACAATGTATGTATAAATTTTTGTGTGAGGAAAAAAAATAAAATAGAAAATATTGAGGCATCTGCTCTTGAGAGGAACCCTCCTCTGCTTCTCCCGTTTTTGCTCGCTTCTTGTCTTAGCTATCTAGTGCTGCTATAACAGAAATACCACAGGTGGATGGCTTTGACAAAGAGAAATTTATTCTCTCACAGTCTAGGAGGATAGAAGTCCAAATTCAAGATGCCAGCTCCAGGGGAAGGCTTTCTCTCACTGGTGGCTCTGGCAGAAGGTCCTTGTCATCAATCTTTCCTGGTAGAGGAGCTTCTCAGTGCAGGGACCCCAGGTCTAAGGGATGTGCTATTCTTCCGGCTCTTGTTTCTTGGTGATATGCGGTCCCCCCCTCTCTCTCTGCTTCTTTTATATCTCAAAAGAGATTGATTTAAAACACAACCTGATCTTGTAAATTGAGTCCTGCCTCATTAACATAACTGCTACTAGTCTCACCTCATTAACACCATAGAGGTAGGATTTACAACACATAGGAAAATCACATCAGGTAACAAAATTGTGGACAATCACACAATACTGGGAATCATGGACTAGCCAAGATGACATACATTTTGGGGGGACACAGTTCTCATTCCCTAACTTTCTGCCATCTCACAGGGAGAAGGGAAGCAGCTGAAGCCATCCTAGTGTAACCTGACCCTACGAATGCAAGTAAATTTCCCTTAGTCCTTAAACTAGCCCAAGCCAGATTTGGCCCACCCTGCATACAGAAGGGCCAGCTGTGATCACTAATTGACCTCAACAGCGGACGCAGCAACAGGTGGAACAAATCAGAAGGAAAATCATCACCCGGACCCTATTTTGAAATGAGAGGTCCGACAAGAACTACGTCACCTCCTGTTTCCTGACTGCGTTCTAGAGTTTTCCTTCCCCAGAACACCTGCGCAGCCACCATCTTGCTGCCCAAATCACATATAAGCCCTGCTTCCCCTTAGCTTAGGGAGCGGATCTGAGGAATTTCCTCCCGGCTCCTTGCTCTGCACGTTGCAATAAAGTTACTTTCTCTTTCTCAAAGACCGGTGTCCAGATAATTGACAAGTCTGAGCATGCAGGACAAGGACCCACCTTCTAGGGTTCTGTAACGCTAGGAGTTGAGAGAGTCTGGGAATGACATGCTGCAGCCAAGACGTGAAATAAACAGCAATATAACTACCTTTCCCCAAACTCAAGATAACGTTATTACCTAAGAATGAAATTAGGAAAATTAAAATGTAATAGCTAAAGATCACTCCAGGGGAAGGAAAGTGGAGAGTGACCGCCAATGGGTGCAGGATTTCTTTGGGGATGATAAAAATGTTCTGAAGTTAGATAGTGACGATGGTTGTACAACTTTGTGAATATTCTAAAAGCTACTAAGTTGTACATTTTTAAAAGGGTGAATTTTATGGTATGTGAATAACATATCTTAATCAAGCTGTTATTTTTAAAAATAAATTTATACAAGAAACTAAATCATAAATCTACTTCTATCATAAGGAGTCCTGGTGGTGCAATGGTTAAGCAGCGTGGCTTCTAATGGAAAGTTTGGATATTCGAACCCACCAAGCAGCTACCCAGGAGAAAGACCTGGTGATCTGCTTCTGTAAAGATTACAGCCAAGAAACCCTATGGGGAAGTTCTACTCCGTAATATGGGTTGCCATGAGTATCGACCAGACAGCACCTGACAACAACAACCTCTATCATAGTCCTTAAAACAAAAAAAAGATCAGTCTCTACAGAAAAGAGTCTAAGAGACTGTGACACACAAAAATCCTATCAAGGTGACTTGAGTGTAACGTTCAAGAAGTAGACTGGGTTATAATGTTTATTCACTCAGTAAATATATTTTATGTATCTGTCAGGCACTGTGCATGATGCTAGGAGTACAACAGTAAGTAGCAGAGATGACTGCACTATGCAAGCAGAGAGACTGTAGGACACATGGGGGTCGTGGACATGGCACCTAGGAGAGTCCAGAAGGGCAAATATCGCTAAGGTTTCTTCAAGAGGTGAGGATACTCTGGCCCACACACAAACCTATGTGGCAGGGATAATAATAAGCTTTTATTAAGCACTTACTATGTGCCAGTTGCTGTTGTAAGTGCTTTACAAAATTATTTAATTCTACGACAGCTCTATAAGATAATCATTATAGGTCTACAATTCCATATTCAAAATCCTTAGGGCTGGATGTGTTTTGGAATTCAGAATTTTTCAAGTTTTACAAAGGTCAAATGGTACATATACCGTATATTATGTAACACCTCCAGGGGTAGCATCCCATAACCAAATAATTAGTATTTCTGCAGTGAAAATGAATAGTTTCAGTTAGCGGAATTTTAAAAACCATAAGTAACGTCATTGCTATTCAGGTCAATTTTGCAACTATATGAGTTACAAAAATACCATATGGATTACAGAGCATTTGGATTTTGGAATTGTGAGTAATCATTATTCCCATTTCTGGGATGAAGAAACTGAAGCGAGAGAGGTCAAGTAACTTATCCAGAGAGAGGCACATAGCTAGTAAGAGGAAGAGGCAGAATTTTAACAAGGCCATCTGGCTTAAAAGCCCATACTCCTAACTCCACCTCCAATCAATTCCTACTGTGGAAAATGAGACCTTTCCCTGAACCTTTAGGCGGAGAGAGCTAGGAATTCTGGGAAATCTTGAAACTTCTTTTCCTAAGCAGAACAAATCTGAACAGGTGAGCAAATCTCTCTCTCAAGTCCCTTCTGCACTGAGGACACAGATGACCTGACCAAGCACTACAAGGGTGCAACAGTTTTTAGGTCCCACTGCACAGGCCACAGGAGCCCTGGCGGCAAGGTGGTTGTGCTCGGCTGCTAACTGAAAGGTCGGTGGTTTGAACCTGCCAGCCACTCCACAGGAGAAAGATGTGGCTGTCTCCTCCCATAAAGATTTACAGCCTTGGAAACCCTTCAGGGCAGTTCTACTCTGTCCTATAGGATCCCTATGAGTCGGAATCGACTCTAGAAGTGGGTTTGGTTTAGTTTTTGCACAGGCCTCAGCGGGGGACAGACACCTTCCCCTCCTCCACCCCACACCTCCAGCCCAGTTTCTCCTCCCATTTGCCTCTACTTCCTTCACCTTCAGACTAGGTGGTTTTGGGGCCCTTCAGGGCAAAACCCAACCGTTGGCTAAGGAGGAAAGTTGGATTGTGTGCCCAAAGGAGGGAAGGAGGAAGGAGGGGAGGGGTAGGGGCAGGCTTTGTGAGGACAACAGCAAGCAGAAGAGACTGCAACTCTCAATTACCTGCATGACAGGGATCTAAAGTGCTCTGCCAGTGACTCCCTCCTGCTGGAGAGTCACCGTTTAATGCTCTATCTGAAAACCCTCCCTTTTCCCCCAGGCTTCCCAATGCTGTAGACAATCTGAGGAAGAATTTCAGCTCTAACCTTTGTCCCCAGGCCTGGCAGCTCACATGGGTAACGACTGTCTCAATTGGCCAAGGGACATTTCTTTCCCCAAACAAACCAAACTCCCCTCACATCCCCCACTCTGTACTTTCCCTAACTATGCGTTGGCAGCTGCTGCCAGGTTCTACCTGGGTCTGGCTTCATCTCTCAAGTCAGATGTTTGGCTGCCCTATCCCCTGCAATGTGGAGTCATGCCAGCTAGACACACACCCCTTCTGGAGCCCCACAGCTGCTGAGACCCTGAGCCCCGCATTCGTAGCTCTTTCCGGGGACTGTGTGGCTTGAGGAGGTCTTCCCCAGCAATGACTTCCTCACTGCTCCTGGCCTTCCTGTTCCTGGCTCTGGCCACAGTGGCCACTTGCAGAGCTGGCAGTCAGTGTCCAGCATGTGGAGGGCCCACCTTGGACCTGGAGAGCCAACGGGAGCTGCTTCTTGACCTGGCTAAGAGAAGCATCTTGGACAAGCTGCACCTCAGCCAGCGCCCAACACTGAGCCGGCCCGTGTCCAGAGCTGCTCTGAGGACAGTGCTGCAGCGCCTCCACGGGCCCCCACAGGGGGCACCTCCGGAGGCTAACAGGGCACAGGATTATGAGATCATCAGCTTTGCTGACACAGGTAGGTGCCTGGTCTGTAGATCTTCCCCAAACCTGACCTCTCAAGGGAAGGAAAAATTTCCTCATCAATGTAGCCCCCAACTCCCTCACCCAAACCATCCCAAACTCCGTTTCCCACAGCGTGTAATCTCCAAATCCCAGGCTCCCCCTCCCCAGGCTCTCTCTGGTAGCTCGGACATGACTAAGGGACAGCTGGGAAATTGGTAAATTTCAATTCTTCTGAGATTGCCAGCCTCATCTCCTCTGGGTCTTCTCTCTGTAGGCCCCACAAGCTTCCAGACTGTGGTTGAGCCCATCCACTTCCTGGGGCCTGGACCCATGGGTCTGGAGCTGAGGAGTCTGTCCTTTCTCCAGTCCTAAGATCCAGTACCTCCCCACCTCTGATCCCACCTCACCCCACCCACTCCACAGATGCCTCATTTGGGTAAAAGGAGGGAAAGTAAAACACTGAGATCATAATATCTCTCTTCCTTACCCCCTCCCCTCTCTCCTTGATACCTCAGGTCACCACATTAGAGCAGTGTAAAAATGGGACTCAGAAACGTGGATAGAGGGTAGAAGGGGGAGAGAAGATTACTTCCATGGAAGGGAGAGGAGTTGGAGAGTTTAGTGGGCAACTGCAGAGAAAATCAGGAATTCAAAGACAGAACCCTAGAAACAGAATACAACCTGACCTTTCTGGGCTCTAAGCTTTTTGCAAGTTCTTTCTTAGGCCTGGTAGCCCCTTCTCATTCCTGGTCCTTTTTCCCTGGTCAGTACTACTCCTTTCCCCTCAGGACCCAGCACACCCATCCTTAAAAAGCCCACCCTGACCTGAGGAGGGGGTGCTCCCTCTGGAGTGGACCCATGCCCTGAACCACCTGCAGGTATATAATTGTCTGTTTCCACGTTTTATGAAATCTGACTTCCCACAGAATGTCAACCCATTGAGGTCAAGAACTGTCTTTTATTCCTCATGTTATCACCAGGAGCTAGTGTGTAGTAGAAATAACTAACACTTATACAATGCTGGGAGCCCTGGTGGTTAAGAGCTCAGCTGCTAACCAAAAGGTCAGCAGTTTGAACCCACCAGCCGCTCCTTGGAAACCCTATGGGGCAGTTCAATTCTGTCCTACAGGGTCCCTATGAGTAGGAATTGACTCAACAACGGGTTATACATGCTTAGGAGCCCTGGTGGCACAATGTTAAGCACTTGTCTGCTAACCAAAAGGTCAGCGGTTTGAACCCACAAGGTGTATTGTATTCTGAGTCCTTAAGTATACTAACTCCTTTAGATTCTCACAACAACCCAACAAAGCAAGTATTATTGTTATCCCCATTTTACAGGTGATGAAACTGAGGCACAAAGAGGTTAAGTAACTTGTCCAAGGTAACTTGTCCAAGGTCACATGGCTGGTAAATGATGCAGCCAGGCAGCCCAGCTCTCCTTGACCTTGACCACTATACCACTCTGCTTCTTGGGAACACAGCAGATGCTCAAAAAACATTGGTTCTGTTAAGTAATCAAACCACACTGTAGGTTAGCTTGACCGCAGTCTGGAGTCCCCAGTGATAGTTGAATCCCTAATCTAGTTCAAATAGGAGTTTCCTCTCATGATTAAGAACACAAACTCTGGAGCCAGACTGCCTGGGTTCAAATCCTGTTCAGCTACTTATTAGCTCTGTGACCTGGGTTGTTAGTAGTCAGTTTTCTCATTTGTAAAATGGGGATATGAGGTACATTTGGGGTTCAATGGTACAATTCTCACCTTCCAGGTGAGAGAACTAATTTCCAATCAATGCACCTCACGCACAGACACCACCCATTGGCCGGTGGAGACTTGCGTGTTGCTATAATGCTGAACAGGTTTCAGCGGAGCTTCTAAGACAGACTAGGAAGAAAGACCTGGTGATCTACTTCCGAAAATCATCCAACGAAAACCCTATAATCACAACAGTCTGAACTGCAGCGGATCGTGGAGACCGCACAGGACCAGGCAGCATTTCACTGGGCTGTGCACGGAGTCTCCGTGATTCGGGGCTGACTGGACAACAGCTAACAACAGCAACAAAACAGGGATAACGAAAGGATAGTTGAGAGGATTAAAAGAGCTAATACAGATAAAGTACTTAGAGCAGTTACTGCACAGAATAAACGCTAAGGAAGTGTCAGATACTTTTTTTGGTGTTAATTTCTAAGGTGGGCGGGAGCAGAGAATTGAGAGAAGACTCAGCTCCTGCCCATGAAGAGTTTTGTTGCTGCTGCTGGGAATATGTTAATTAGAATATAAGGCAGAATGAAGTAAATGCTAGATAAGGGCACAAAAGCATGCTGGACCAGGAGTAACTCATTAGGCCCTGGTGACATAGGGAAGTCTTTCAGAAGAGGGTAGCAAATGGGCTTGTGTTGTAAAATAAGTTTGACTTCAATGGGTAGAGAATGGTAAAGGACATGCTACACTGAGGGGAAAACATGAGTATAGATGTGAAGGAGCAGATTGCACTTGGGGTTGAAAAGAAGTTTGAGGTGAACGAAGATAAGATGGACAGATGACCATCTTATGACCTCGAACACTGAAATCCTGTTTTGCTTTTTCGCTTTTCTATCCCTGGTGCTTAGCCCAGTCCTGGCACAATGTAACAATAATGATGGTTACCAGATACTGAATGTACCTGCCTCATCTCATTTAATCCTCGCAAGCGCCCCATAAAGTAGACTTTATTATTCCCATTTCATGAATGCAGAGACTGAGACTCGAAGATAATTTACATGGCCAGGGCAGTAAAGAGAGCTTATAGAGCTTGCCAAGTGGCAGGGGCAGGATTCAATCATAGTTCTCCTGACTTCAAAGTCCATATACTTTCTGCATATTTGCTAATGAATGAAAGAATGAATACGACATTTAGGCCAGAGAGAGCCTGATCTGAGATGAGCTTAAAAAGGAAGTTTGGAGGTGAGGATGACCGATGCCTGGATTCCACCTTTTACATTTAAATATTTTAGCTGGAACTTTTCATTCCAATTTAAGCTATCAACTACACCACAGTGTGAAAGAAAGATCTGACAATTGTTCTTGCTAGAGATATGAAGAGAGAGAGCTTGAGGCTCTGGGGGAAACTAGAATAGGGAAGTGTAGAAACCAAAGGGCCAGGGACACTGGGAGCTCTGGAGGTTACGAATTAGACACCCTGTACCTCTCATTCTGCTTAGGGTCAGTTCAAATATATTAGGTTTCTGTCTGGAAGAAGCATCCTGAAAATGTCAATCACTAAGTCTGCCCAGCATCCCGAAGTGCTGCTATTGCCCACAGCTTTTGTTTCACTTACCTATTGCTAAGTAACAAACCACCCCCCAAAGGGTAGTGGCATAAAACGATGATTTATTGTTTATCATTAGTTTGTGGTTTGACTTGGCTCATCTGGACAGTACTTCTGCTCCATGTGGTACAGCTGAGGTCACTCATGTGGCTGCACTCAGCTGGGAGCTTGACTGGGGCTGGAACATCTAAGATGGGCTCTCATCCTCTAGCACCTCTCCTCAGGCAGCCTCTTATCATTCAGTAATCTAGCCCAACCTTCTTTAAAGCACTGGTGTCTGGCTTCCAAGAGGACAAGTCTCAATGTGTAAATGATCATCCATCTTCCATTTGTATTTGCTAGCTAATATCCCATTGACAAAGCAAGTCATATGGCCAAGCTGAGAATCAATGTGGGAGGGAACTACACAAAGGTGTGAAAATCAGAAGGTATTGCTCTTCTGGAGCCACTGAAGGTCAGCAGTTGGAATCCACCAGTTGCTCCTTGGAAACCCTATGGGGCAGTTCTACTCTGTCCTATAGGGTCACTATAAGCTGAAATCGACTCAATGGCAATGGTAATGTAGCAGTATACCACTGTCTGCCCTCTGGCCCCTAATAATTCATGCCCCTCCCACAAGGAAGATACAATCACCCGCTCTCAAGACCCCCAAAATCAGGCTTGAAGTTTCATCTGAATCAAGTGCATGTTTAGGTGAGGCTCCTCTGGTTCATTTCTTCAGGCGCAGGCGCTTTCAGTGGTGTGTTGCAGGTGGCCCATACCAGCTCATGAGAGCCAATCATCTACTCTTCCTTACTCTTCATTCAGTGACATCACATTGGTAGACTGAAATCAGTCACCGGGGGGGTGGGGGTATTTATACTACGGAAATTGGCAAACACTACAAATCAGATTTTTTTTTTTTCCCGGAGAACAGTTGTTAAACATTTACCAGCACACCACAGTCTGTGACCTAAAAATACAAACTATCTTCCTCCCACACATTTAACATACAAGGTTGAGACAGAGACAATAACCACGATAGACACTCCTGTTCAAAATGGGGGATGGGGAAATGGAAGACATACAGCAGTCACTGATCCAAAGAATTTCTGGCAACCAGCCAGGCACGTATCTCAGTCCACCCCAAATCCAAAATTCCCTTGGTTAGGGCCTGGTTCTGCTCACGGGTAGATGTCCCGTTGCTTGTCGCTGCTCTCCTTGGCTTCTGGATCTACCCTCTCAGCCCTTGGCTCTATCCTGTGAGATGTCCTTTCTTTTCGATAGCAAATGGCCTGTGCTTGCGGCTAAGTAGTATTCTCAGCCTGCTTCCTACCCAAAGAAGTTGGGGGCCCAGAGACTTCTTCACGTTTTGAATTGCCTCTGCCCTTTTTAGTACAAGCTCGTGTTGCTTTCACTATTAAAATTCTCCATGGACCTTGTAAACAAATGGTAGTTTACTTAGACAAAAGGCACCCCACTCCATAGTTCAAGCTACAAGCCAGAGTATAGTGGGACAACACCCTTAAGAGTCTTAAAAGCCGCTTTATCTAGTTGAGAGGGTCTACAAAGTATCACTTTCAGTTTTAGACCTCAGCAAAGGGTTTACAGCTGACTCTATTTGTTTTGCTCTTCACCCTGAAGCCATATTTTACTGGCAGTGCTTTGGATTTGGTTTTTGCCCTGAGGCCATTTCTTTCTTTGCAAACCTTTTGCCAGGTAGAA